GGCGGTAGGCTGGACCCGCTGGCGTCCCCTGATCTCTCCTGTTTCCGGGGCGGTGGGTTGTCCCTGGAGGCGTCGTCGGTGCCCTTCTGAGGGCTTGGCATGCCTTGCTCGCCGCTCCCGCTGGCTGCGTCTTGGGCGACGGCTTGTGCGCAGGGCGTCCATGGGTCTTGGACGGTGGATTCCTTTGGTTCACCAGGTGCGTCACACCATGTATAGGGGATCTGCCTCCGAGCTCCTGCTGGGGCTCCTCTCCTTAGCAGCTAAGGCTGGGGCCTCCGCGTCTGGGCTGAAGTCAGGGAGAAAGGATTCGGAGGGCTCCTGGGGTTCCTGCACTTCTGTCTCTACTTTGCAAGACTGTCCGGCGTTGCTCTGGTCGACTACTGTTTCATGGGTCTGCGGTGATTCATCCTTGACCCTGGGAGTGTCGAGCGCCTCGCGGGATGGCTGGGGAGTTTCGCCGCTGCGTGTTGCGCCCGCAGGTCCTGCAGCCTTTACCTTCGGCACGACTCCCTGACTTACCTCGCTGTGGGAACCTGCGCTCGCGGCATCCCTGGTCCCGTCGAGCCAGCTGGCTGCGCGCGAGTCGCCCTGTCCCATTGCGCAGGTGGCGGTCTGGACTGGATCTTGCCGTGCCAGGGAACTAATGGTGCCGTCGGCAAGGGCGGAGGCGTCTATATCCGCTAGGTAGCCCAGCAGGGTGCTGCTGGTGTGGCGGAAGGGGGTTGCGGCCTCGCTGCTCTCCCAGGAGTGAGGCGTATGCCCGCCATTTGTCCGCGTGTACGACATTTTTCGAAAGGCGGAAGACGACCTGGGCAGCCGCTGCCCTCTTGCCGGCCCAGGGGATATTGGCTGGGTGGCATTCTGCGGGGATACTTTGTCCATAGATGCTGACCAAGAAGGGGTTCAGCTTGCTGGGGGGCCATGACGCTTCGCCAGTCTTATCACCAAGAACTCCTTCCGCATGCTGCCGCGCGTAGTCAGTCCACCGACTGTAGACCTCTGGACCCCACTCCAAGAGGAAACGAACCAGTGCGCGGTGTATGCCGTGGGAGTCGGGCTAGTTAATACCCCGCCCAGGCAGCTCGACTGTGGAGCGGGTTGGCACCGCGGGACCTGGCGGAGGGGCGCTGCTTGGAAGTAGGGCGCCGATTTCCCGGAGCCTGGGGCCCTCGCGCGCCCATTGTCCGCTGGGGGAAGAGCCCTCGCCCCCTGCTGTGGAGGGCCGTCCACTTGCGCGGTCCGTCGGCCTGGAGTAGGCGTCCGCAGCCGCTGCGTTGGCGGCGCCAGGGTGGAAGTGGACTGTGATGTCGGTTCTGTCGACTTCCATACCAGCAGGGGTGTCGCGCTTACTTGGCGCCCTGGGGTAGACGTCAGCTGACTGTTTGTCGAGGATGTGGTCGAGCGTGCCTGGGGCAACATTCCACATGTACGGTAGGCACCTTCTGCAAGACCAGCTGGCATTCCACTTCCTTTGAATCCAGAGTGCTGGCATGTGCTCCCAGGGGGGGGGGGGGTCCTGTGTCGCTGGAGACGGGGGCGTCCTGGTCTGGACGCCAGAGGAAGCAACCTAAGGCGGGCTTGTCTGCACCCCAGACCAGCAGGGGGCCCCTGGCGGGCACGTGTCACACCTGGCAGAGTAGGCGTTGGTGGAGTGAGCGTCGAGGCCTAGCCTTCCGTCAACCATCAGCCAGCTTGTGGGCTGGGGGCGTCATGTTGGCCGACCGCGGCCGATGCGCGCTGGGGGCCGCCATGGCCAGGTCGCGCAGCGATCCTGGCGTCGGCGCCAGCGGCGGACGCCCGAACCCGAGAGGAAGGTGTGCCAGGGCTGGGGGCACAAGTGATTTCCTGTCTTGTTGCTTGTCCTCCAGGTTGGCCATGTGGTCTAGGATCCGTTGGCCCATGACCCTTTCCGAGGTGCAGCCAGGCGGGGCGGAGGGTGTGGGAGACGATCGAGCATTGCTCGCAAAGACATTTGCAGTTCTTGCCCAGCATGTACGCCTGGGCACGGTTCTGTGCAAGGAGCTCCCTTGTGTCGTCGTCTTCCCAGGTGCCAGCGGAGTACTTGAGCCCTTTCTTGGTGCAGTCGCTTCCGTCGCAATTGAACAGGGATCCTTTGAGACCCGTGCTGGCAAACCGTCCGTCGGTCACCCTTGGGGGTTTCAGGGGCGCACCTGGAGCAGGGGCAGCCGGCCTGTCATGGTCGAGCCTCCTTTTGAACATGGCGGTACCACCCCCGATGTACTGCAGCCCTGCCATGGAATTTGGGCATCCGAGACCCTGTTCAGACCCAGTGAGCAACATGTGCAGGGCGCAGATGGAGCAGCTGAACCCACCTAGTGGGTCGATTTTGGCCGGCTGGACGAGAGCTTCCAGGACCCTCATAGAAGCCTCCACGGAGAACTTGCTGCCTTTCATCCCTGCCCATGTGCGTGGGCACTCGTGCTTACGGGCGACAGGGTGATGGTGCGCGGACGTGGCAAGCCTGCTGATGTGCTTGATAGCGTCCTCGAACTTCCCGTGCAAGGTGGTCAGAGCGTTGAGAGTTAGGCCCCAAGCGTTGGCGAAGGCGGTTCTGTATTCCAGGTGGACGCTTTGCCAGGGTACGCAGATGCCCATCACCGCCTCCGCTATGAACCCGGTTGCCTCTGGGTAAGGGAAGGGCCAAAAGTGCGGCGCGGGGCTCGCGAAGCTGGATCATGATAACCACCGGGAGGACCCGGAAGGAGGGAATGTCCAACGGGAGTCCTTCGCTGTTGAGGAGGTCCTGTCTCAACGTGGAGCCGCCTTGGGCGGCCTGTAGCAAGTGCGCCAGGTTCTCCATTTCAGGGTGCACGCGATGCCTCCTGCACTTTCCCGTGGTTGCGCTCCAGGCCTTCGGAAATTGGTGCAGGATCCCAGGCGGGGTGCAACGCTTGTTGTCCTTGGGTCGGTGGCTGCGGCCCTGCACCTCGGGCATGGGGGGAGTGATTCGACGGGGACAGACGGGCTCTTATCTGCCCAGGGAATGCCAAGCCCCAGGATCCACATCAGCGCTGCCCACGTCATGTTGTCGACGAGGTTGCTGGCGTCGATTCCTAAGTCCACGTCGTAGCAAAACCCCAGGTGGCTCCAGGCCTTGCGGTCGAACAGGCCCGGTTCCCTCGGGGCGTCGGCAATGGAGTACTGGTGGGGGGGGGCAGACCAGAGACTGTGTATAGGACTTCCCCCAGGGCGGGGTCCTCGATTAGCCTGAGTAGGCTATTCTGTATGGCGTTACCGAGGGCGTCCCAGCAGAACGCGGGGTCTAATGGGGCAGCGATCTTGTCAGCGAAGTTCTTGTCCACTGAGGCCCGAGCTTTGTCTATGGCGCTGTCAATCCTCTTGATTGCGTCGTCGCCTGCGTGTGAGAGGGTAACTGACTCGGGGACCCGGGCCGCTAGCCCAACGATGGGGTCGAAGCCTGTGTCGATCTCTAGTACCTTGCGCCGCCCACTTTTGTTGGGCTCCTGGAAGCGTACCCACAGCTTCGCCAGGCGCCCGTACTCAGAGAGCTTGCGCAGTCTTGACCAGGAGGCTGTTGCGAACATCCTCCCGTCGCCAATGACCACGACATTCCGCGTCGCCCATGGCGACGTTCACCTTGTTGGCGCTATCCATGAAGCCCCAGTCGTGCCGCCCGTTGGATCTGGTCGTTAGAAAGATGACGATGTCTGCCTCTCCACCTTGGCTGGAGTCGATGGTGGAGAGGACGAGCCTGCCGCTTGCCAAATGCTCGGCTGCGAATTGCCGCACGCCAGGGAAATCCAGGGAGACGCCGGTGCGCCATGAGCTCGGTTGGTCAAAGACGCTGGCGTAATCGCTCGGATCCACTGGCCGCCTGGACTCGTCCGCTGCGCCAAGGCCCCGGCCTTTGCCCCCTTCGGTCTTACCCTTCCCTTTGCCTCGCCCCTTCGACTGCCGAAGGGTGCCGCTGATGCTTCTGGACCTCTGGGGCCACCCGTTTTCCAGGATGGCACATTGGAACTGATAGCCGATGACTACCCGGACTGTGACGCGAGGCGTCAACAATTTGTCGAAAGAAGGGGCACGAACACAATGATGGGTATGTCGGAAAAAGGGCACGAACATGATGAGGGGTGTGTCGAAACGTGTGATTGGTGTGCCAACGTGGGGGCGGTGGCGCCATACGTCGGCGCGCCAACTACCTAGCATGGGGTGCTAAACGTGTGGGGGGTGCGCCGAAAAGGGGGGCGGCGGTGCCATACGTCGGCGCCCACTGGGACCGTACGCGCAACTCCCGTGGGGCACGAGCCGCGTGAGAGGTGTGCCGAAGTGGCGTCGGCGGGGCACCCACTGAGACTGGATGTGGAGCTCACTGGAGGACACGGAACGTGTGAGGGGTGTGCCAGGAGGGGGGGGGCGGTGCCGGGCGTCGGGGCCCGCTGAGACCGTGGGTGGAAGTAACCTGAGCGGCACGGGGCGTGTGAGGAGCGCGCGGGAAGGGGCACGCGGAGGGCAGAGGGCAGAGGGCGGGGAGGAGGCGGAGTTGGAGGAGGGGGCGCGCGCGCGCTGCAGAGTCGAGACGAGGGCCCAATTTCACACAGGAGTGCTGAGAACCACCAGGTGCCCAAATGGAGCTACCAAGCGCAAGTAGGCACGACATGATACATGGAATGCGGCGGCCGCTGACCGCAGCCTAGCTCTGGCTACTGGTGTGCGAGCTGGCCTCGCAAGGGACGCCATTTTCTGGCGCGGCGCGGGATGCTGACGGACTTGACTCCGTTGAACACTAGGAGCCAGGGCCACTGGAATCACGTAAGCCAACATATTCGACAACAAACCCGACCCAGTGAACCGGCCTCATTTCAAAATCTCCTCCCTTTCATCTTCCTGGTCTGCTTCCTTCTCCTGTCTTCCTCATCCCCATCGTCCTCCGTATCCTAGTTGACATCGTCCTTCTCCTCCTTCTTCTGCAGATCGTCCTTTCATAGCCGCATCCTCCTCATGCGGGCACGCTGCGCCTCCTCTTCCGTCGAGTAGACAGCTGCACCTGTACCCTTGCCCCTGCCGGAGAAGACTTCCACCCACTTCGTCGCTCCAGCCTCCGTCCAGTGGGGCCAATGAGAGAGGTGACGATCGAGAGGGGGAGGTGGAACCAGACCCCGACAGTAATGACATGTTGCAGAAAACATGCCCCAAGTGCTGCCATAACGACTTCGGCGGCTCTCGAGAATCTGCCTTGTCCGCTGGCATCATGCATAGTACCCCGCATTGTCGAGCATTCTCGCGCACATATCAATTTGTACAGGCGTGTGATGTGCAATCACGGTTGAACGCGCGCATGTGGAATGTTAGCGTTCTGGAAGCAACATGCGTATACGACTCATTCAAACAAGCCTGTATAGACACTTCCAAATTCGTGTGCGCCCAACTGAGCTGTCCTCGCGCACAGAGAACGACGTATAGCTGATGCAATGCAAACCTGCTTAGACACATACGTACGTGGAACGTGCGTCGTGCTTCTCTTGCACCAGTGTACACGTGCTATGCGCATGGATGTGTGCATAATTGTACTCATGTGTATGGGTTTGTGTATCTCTACGTGCACGTCCTCTTCAAGCGGCTTACTCAAGGTAATGGTGAAGCACATTTGCAAGCCGGGCCTGACGTAAATCTAAAGAAGCGAATGCAGCCCAGGCACGGCCGCGTCGGCATTGAGCTCCTCGTGCGACCAGACTTAAAGCATGAGGTCCGAGTCTAGACTTGCACGATCGCCAGAACATCGCTGCAACCTCGGCGCCTCACGAATAACTCCGCCAGGGCTGCCAGTCAGCGCAGCGCAGGCATCGAACACTGCAGGGATGGGCTGAGTTAGTCCGCGACACCAGAGAGAGATAGAGGAAGAGAGAAAGAGATAGCCATATAAGCCGCTGTAGCCGAGAACCGATCGGGGCGATCAACGTACTGTGCCCAGCAGGTCCGCAGCAAACGCACAAGGAGGACCCCCTCCTTCGCCACAACCCCAGAGACCACTAACACCTCTCCCGCCCCCAAACAACGACTACAACGTGGAAACCAAATCAATATTACGACGGCCTGCGGGTGCCCAAACGGAGTACCGGTGCATGCGCACACACACACACACACGTGGTAAGGAGTAATTGCGTGTAGGTATCTGCTAGCTCCCATTCCTGGGGCCAGGTCGCCAAGCGCTCCCTGGCCCCGAACACAAATCAGAATTCTGAGCCACTGAACCCAGGAAGAGAGACGCCAAAGGCCCGAATGACAGATGTGTGAAAGAACCAGGGCGGAAGGAAACGGGAGCTCTTGAGAAATCTGCAAACACACACGAAGGACTGCACGGTGAAACCTGGGAGGCACAGACAGACGAATATGTCATGGTATGGGCGTCGCCTGGTTCATGTGCGTCTGCAGATCCTTCCAAGATGTGTTATCAGCCAGGTTGCCGATCCAGACCTTGTCAGGGGCTGTCTAATTGGGGAGATGGGAAGGGGATGACTGAGAAGCGGCAGGGAGACGGAGAGGTGCTGTACAGCAGAAGTGGAAGGGGGCGAGCAAAATAGCTGGCAGCGTAAAGAAGAGGGGAAGCTTCCCACCCCAAGATGGCTCGAGGTGGCCACGGACCATCGCAGGATGCACTCGAGAAGCGACATGATATAACGATTGCCGCTACCTTCTCGCCTTTCCGCTTCTGATGGCTCTTCGAATCCTCAACATTGCCCACATGTGGCCACAGGAGAGCCACCAGAGCGTCCCATAAGCCAAAGGCATCGCATGGGACTCCGATGGGGGCGTGCGTTGTTTGGCCAACTCGCGTGGGAATATCTTCAGGATGTGCTGATTTTTTCTAGGGGAACAACATCGAGTCCTTCTCGCAGGAGCAGCAGGCGACCCTGCCGGCGAGCAGGCGAAACGCAATGGTCGAACGGTCTGCTCCCTGAAAGGCCCTAGTTCGGGTGTCGCCAAAAGTGACACTGGCCCAATATGCCCCTAAAATTTTCCAGGCGGCCCAAATGGCCTTCTGAACACCCCTCAAGAACATGATCGACCCACGAAGCCGGAAAGGGATTTAGAACGGCGAGGCATGGGAACGTTTCCAAGCACCTCAATTGGGCGGTGGGCAGTGGCAATACTGAAGATACCAATGATGATACTGTGCCAGGGGCTGTGTTGTGCTGCTTTGCGCTGTGCCGCGCCGCACAATGACGTGCCAGGGGACGCGCCACGGAAGGTGCCAGTGGACGTGCCAAAGGTTGCGCCCCGGGACGCGCCACGGAACGTGCCAGGGGACGTGCCAGGGGACGCGCCCAAGAGCCACGATCCATCGTAAATCACGCTGCGTCCGCGCTCTCAGGGCCAAGATCCCTTGTAAATTAAACTGGGTTCGCGCTACCTAGGCCTCGGTCATTTGTCGCATGGCCACAGAACGTGACAGTGGGACGCGCACTCCCCTGTCCCGCGCTCCCAGATCACGCTGCGTCCGCTCACCCGAAGACGCGATCCCTCGTAAATTGTGCTGCGTCCGCGCTCCCAGGGCCACGATCCCTTGTGAGTTACGCCGCGTCTTCTCTCCCATGGCCAGGATCCATTGTAAATTTCAATCTGCGCACTCCCGCGGCCAGGATCAGTTGTAAATCACGCTCTGTTTGCCCTCCAGGGCCAGAATCCCTTGCAAATAACGCTGCGTCCGCGCTGCCAAAGCCACAATCCCTGGTGCACAACGGTGCTTCTGCACTCCCAGATCCGCCTGGGCATCCTGGTGCGCCCAGGCCCTTCAAATGTCGCAGATCAAGCGCCTCGCTCGAGACATCCCCGAGGATTCTGCGTGCAGGACCTCGCCATCCTCGGGCGGGCATGCGCAACACGATGTTGTTATAATTTCCTGTTGCAGTTCAATGTTTCCAGGCTTCGTTCCTTGTAAGGGTTCTGCGCAACCGCTCCGGACTTTCCGTCACGATGGGGAGCGGCGGTCTGCGGACCTCGTCATTTAACCGAGGATCTGAGATGGGGGGCGCACTTTCCTTGGACGGGCACGCACGACACGCATTTCTCTACACCAGATGTTGCTTAACGAGCGACAGTTCGCCAGCTCTTGCCCAACATGGCACCTGGGACAGTTTACCAAGTGAAAGAGAACCCTGGGCACACGCCTTTTCCGGGAAAAACACATGGTTTTGGCTCACGGGCGAAAGGGACCCATGTAAAGTTACATGGTTTGTGCCGACGGGCGGGGGGGACCCATATAAAAACACGTGGTTTGGCGCAAGTGCGAACGACACCCGTGTACACGTGGTTTTGGCCCAAGAGCGATACAAACAACTGGTCTGAACTCAAAAAGGAAACAAACCCAAATAACATGACCGACCCACGAATCCGGAAAAGGGATTTATGAGTGCACGGTCAGGAAACTTCTCCAAACACCTCAATTGGCCAATTGGCAGTGGCACTGCGAAAGATATCAGTGGTACTGCTACTGTGCCAGGAGCTGTGCTGTACCGCTGTGCGCTGTGCCGCGCCGCACAATGATGTGCCAGGGGGACGCGCCACGGAACGTGCCAATGAACGTGCAGGGGACGCGCCGCGCGATGTGCCAGGAGGACGCGCCACGCAACCTGCCAGGGGGACGCGCCACGGAAAGTGCCAGCGGACGTGCCAAGGGACGTGCCAGGGGACGCGCCGTGCGACGTGCCCAAGGCAGGCGCCAGGGAACGTGCCAAGGAACGTGCCCGAGGTCACGACCCCGCGGGAATTACGCTGCGGCGTCGCTCCCGGGGCTACGCTCCCTTGCACATTACGCTGGGTTCGCGCTCCCAGGGCCACGTTCATCTGTAAATGAGGCATGGGTCAAGCTCCAAGGGCCAGGATCCCTTGCAAATCGCGCTGCGTCCGCGCTCACAAGGACAAGATCCATCGTAAGTTGTTCAGGATTCACGCTTCTATGGCCCCGGTCCTTTGTGAATTGCCCTGCGTCAGCGCTCCCAGGGCCGCGATCTCTCATGAATTGCGCTGCGTCCGCGCTCTCAGAACCACGACCCCTCGCAAATTACGGTGCGTCCGCGCTCCCAAGGCCACGACGCACTCCGCGCAAATTGCCCCAAACGAGCCACCCACCTTCCCTTCCGGAGTAGAGCGCCATACTTTTCTGTATTGGGATATGTGTTCGGGTGGCGCTTTTGGGCCCAGGCCGTTTCCTGAAAATTCGGCGCTGTACCCGAAGGCGCGAATCCTCGTCCGCGCTCCCAAGGCCACGAGCCTTTGTAAATCACGCTGGGTTCGTGCTCCCATGGCCAAGATCCCTTGTACATAACGCTGGATTCGCGCTCCCAGGGCCGCCTTCCTTAATACATTACTCTGAAGGCAGGACACCACATGATAATCAATGTAGAGCGCCCTTCGTTCCTTCCTTTTCGCCGTGGCCGAAGACCCCCGTCTCGCTTTCTATTGCGCCTCCTCCTCATCGTCTTTGTCTTCTTTGTCCTCCGTCTCCTCCTCTTGCGCGCCCTCCTTGTTCAATGTCTCCTCTTCCTCTTCGTCCTTTCCCTCCTCCTCCTCCTCCTCCTCCTCCTCCTCCTCCTCGTCCTTCTCCTCCTCCTCCTCCTCCTCCTCCATTTCCTCCTCCTTCTCCCCCCCTTCCTAATCTCCATCCCGCCTGTTCTCCTCATGCGCCTCTCCTCTCCTGGCAGGGGGGCGCATGCCGATTTTCCTCGGCGCCGTCGCCGCCGCGCCCAGCAGGGGCGTGTTCTCCGATGGCAAAATCGCGAAATCGTCGGGGCAACGGCCATGGGGACAACCCCGCGAGCCGCTGGGGCACGAGAGCACGCCGTTGGGACAACACCGCAAGCACCGAGTTAGTCGCGGTCGCGTTCAGGCGGGAGGCAGCAAGAAATTCAGCTCTGCCGCGAGCTGTTCAACGTCAGCCCTGGAGTCCACCGCTCTCTCGTCGAACTCCTCGAGCGACGTATAACTAGGGAGGGGGCTCCCGCCTGAGACTTCCTCGCAACTCGCTCACAGACGCGCGAGGGACGCCTCGTGATGTGCCCTCTTGGGGTGCTCAAGTGCGATGCCTGGCAGGATTTGCCGACGACCCGCTCGGATTACCAACGTCAAATGCGGGCCACATAAAGGGGGAGGGGCTTCCGCCGGAGACTTCCTCGCAATCCACTCACACACGAAGCCACCGCGTGTGAGTTCCTCTACATTCAATCCAGAAGAACCGAAAACTGACGACACTTACAAGTTTCCGATGGCCCGCTCGGATTACCAACATGAAATGCGGACCCCATAGGGAGGGGGCTCTCGCCTGAGACTTCCTTGCGACTCACTCACAGACGAAGCTCCCGCCAGAGACGCCCTCCATATTCAATCCACAGGAGCCGACAAATTATGACAATTTCACGTTTCCGATGACCAGCTCGGATTGCCAACATGAAATGCGGACCCCATAGGGAGGAAATTCTCGCCTGAGACTTCTTGTAAGTCATTCACAGACGAAACTCCCGCTTGAGACACCCTCCAAGTTCAATCCAAAGAAGCCGAACAGTGATGACAAGTACAAGTTTCCGATGACCCGCTCGCACTGCCAACGTGAAGTGCGGACCGCATAGGGAGGGGGCTCTCGCCTGAGACTTCCTCGCTATCCACTCGCAGACGTAGCCACTGGGTGAGACGTCCTCCATACTCAATCCAAAGGAGCCGGACAATGACGACAATTACACGTTTCCGACGACCAGCTCGGATTGCCAACATCAAGTGCGGACCCCATAGGGAAGAAGTTCTCGCATGAGACGTCGTCGCTATGCACTTACAGACGAAACTCTTGCCAAGGACTTCCTCCATATTCAATCCAGAAGAGCCGGAAAGTGACGATTGTTATAGAGTTCCGACGACCCGCTCAGATTACCAACGTCAAATGCGGATGACCGCATGGGGGGGGGGCTCTCGCCTGAGACTTCCTCGCTACCCACTCACAGACGAAACTCCCGCCTGAGACTTCCTCCATATTCGATCCAGAGGAGCCGAAGAAGAGTCGACAGTTACAGGGTTCCGATGACATGCTCGGGGGCTCTCGCCCGAGACTTCGTTGCGATTCACTCACTCACAGACGAAGCTCCCACCTGAGACTTCCTCCATATTCAATCCACAGGAGCCAGAAAATGACAGTTACAAGTTTCCGATGGCCCGCTCGGATTGCCAACATGATGTGCGGACCCCATGAAGAGGGGGTTCCCGCCTGAGACTTCCTTGCAAGCCACTCGCAGACGAAACTCCCGCCTGAGACTTCCCCGAATTCAATCCAAGGGAGCCGACACATGACAACAATTACAAGGTTCCGATGGCCCGGTCGGATTGCCAACATGAAGTGCGGACCCCATAGGGAAGGGGCTCCCGCCTGAGACTTCCTCACGCATTACTTACAGAGGAGGCTCCCTCTGAGTCGATGATCGCGATGGGATGGTGATAGTGATGAAAATGTGATGGTAGTGATGGCGATGCTGATTGATGGTGGGGGGTGCTTGAATGATGATGGTGGTGCATAGTGATGATGAGGCGGAAAAGAAGTTGTGTGTGAGATTGTGCTGTTGATGTTGATTGTGAATGAGGGTGTGTGTGTACTGCTGATGATGATGATGATGATGGTGGTGCTGATGATGATGAACGTGATGACGGTTGTGATGGTGATGGTGATGAGGTCGAGGAGAGGGGGGTGGGTGGGAGGTTCCTGCGCGGAGGTGTGTAGAGAAAACAAAAAACCCATTTAGGATGTGGGGAATTGCTCTGGATTCGCGCTCCCCAAACTCAGTTGCGCCTGCGCTCTCCGAACCACGATCTTTGTACATTGCACTGCGTTCGCGCTCTCAAGTTCACGATCCCTCGCAAATTACGCTGCGTCCGCGCTCCCAGGGCCACGACGCACTCCGCGCAGGTTGCCCCAAAAAGCCACCCACCCTCTTCCCCAAAGCAGAACGCTACCTTTTTCTGTATTGGGATCTGTGTTCGGGTGGCGCTTTGCGGCCCCCGCCGTTTCCTGAAAATTCGGCGCTGGACCCGAAGGCGCGAATCCTCGTCCGCGTTCCCAAGGCCACGAGCCTTTGTAAATCACGCTGGGTTCGTGCTCCCATGGCCAAGACCCCTTGTACATAACGCTGGATTCGCGCTCCCAGGGCCGTGTTCCTCAGTACCTTACGCTTGATTCGCGCTCCCAAGGCCACGATCCCTCGAAAACTTGTTGCGTCTGTGCTCCCAAGGCCACGGCCTTTGTAAATTGCACTGCGTCCGCGCTCCCAGGGCCACGATCCCTCGTGAATTATACGGCATCCGCGCTCCCAAGGCCACGATCCCTGGTACATAACGGTACCCCTGCACTCCCAGAACCACCTGGGCATCCTGGGGCACTCAGGCCCCTCAAGTGCTGCAAACCAAGCGTTTCGCTCGAGACATCCTGAAGGATTCTGCACGCAGGACGCGCCATCCTCGAGCGGGCACGCGCAAGATCAGCTTGTTCTCATTTTCTGTTGCCTGTCAATGTCTCCAGACGTCGTGATTTGTAAAAGAGTCCGCCCAAAACGCTCCGCATCCTTCTATTACAAGTGGCACGGGGGACTGCGGACCCTGTTATTTATCGAGGATCCGAGATAAGGGGGCACGCTTGCCTCGAGCGGGCTCGCGCGAAACGCATTTTTCCATAGAGAACTAAACATTACATACTTATTTGTTCGAATGGAAATCCGCCGCCCCTACGCGAATTTAGCACTGGGGACAAATTACCCACTAAACGATAACCCTGGGCCCACGCCCTTACCGGGGAAAACGCGACCATGTTAGATACCCCCTTGGGTGGCCTGGGAACGTAAAACACGTGGGTCCAGCAAGGGACTGCCATGTTCGATACCCCTCTGGGTGGCCTGGAGACGTGAAAACAGGTGGTTCCATGTCAGGACCACCACATGTTACATACCCCAATGGGAAATCTGGGAAGTCACCGGCCGAAAAAACAGTGCCAAGTTATTCCACATCTGGTGACGACTTATTTTGTTTCTGGATCTTGTGCCCCCCCAAGGGGTGCCTAGAAGACCACATGTCAGATATCCCTCTCTTGGTGGCCTGGACACGTAAACCATGATCGAACCACGAACCTGGTACGGGAGTTAGAACTGCGAAGCCTTGGCACGCTTCCAAGCAGCTCAGTTGGGCGATGGGCAGTGGCAATGCTGAAGATACCATTGGTGATGATGCTGTGCCAGGGGGCTGTGTTGTGCTGCTCTGCGATGTGCCGCGCCGCACAGTGACGTGCCCGGGGACGCGCCAGAACTTGCCAGTGGACATGCCAGGGGCCGTGCCAGGGGACTCGCCGCGCGATGTGCCAGGGGGATGCGCCACAGAACGTGCCAGAGGGACTCGCCAAGGAACGTGGGTCACGATCCTTCGTAAATTACACTCCGCCGGCCCGAAGATGCCCGAAGTAGCACGAAGGGCCACGAAGCACTCCGCCGGCCCCAAGATGCCCCCAGTAGGCCCTAAGAGTCCCCCAAGAAGCTTCCAAGATGCCCCCAAGAGGCTCCCAAGAAACCCTCAAGAGGCCTGGCGGCCTCCCCGAGGCACCCAAGAACCCCAGAGGCCCCCGGGACTGCCAAGAGACCCCACGACGCCTCAAGATGACTCCAAGAAGCTCTCGAAAGACATCCGAAGAGACTCTGAGAGGCATCCAAGAGGCCTTTGGCCTTTGTGCTCGCCCTCCTCCTCCTTCTCTTCCTCCTCCTCATCCACCCTTTCCTCCTCCTCCGTCCTCTTTCCTCCTCAGCTGAGGATCCCCCTACGGTCCCTCGGCTAACGAAGACGGCCGTAGGGAGGGGTGACCAGTACCTCAACCTCAAGGCACACATATGCCACCACCTTTAATCAGAGGCGTCAGTTGCCACCCACCATTCCTACCCTCCTCCTCCTCCTCCTCCTGCTCAGTAGCCAAGCGCACAATCTCCTTGTAATCGTCAAGCTGCGAATTGTGCTGTCCTCTGGATTTCTGGTTCAATTATTTTTGTTGCACCCTACTGCTGTGCGGGAGGCGCTTTGCACGAATGTATGATCTGCGGCTTCTTTGACGCAAGAGCTGCCGAGCCCAATCGTGTGAGCAAAGAGGACTTGGACGAATGGAAACTGAGGCGGGCCAGCGAAAGAAGATCAAAGGCGATGTGGCCGCTGGCCTTCAGTGCGGGATCCACCCACCGCATCAGGCTTGTGCTCTTTCCCTTCCCCTTGCCCATGCCTTTTCCCTGGCGGGTCGCCAAGGAGGGCAGTGCTTGACTGGAGGCGGGAGCTCCGCGACTCGAAGCGGCAAGGCCCGCCGAATGTTGTTGCCTGCTTGCCGACCGGTTTGCTTACGTACCTGCGCCCCTGCGCACGTGCACCCACCTTCCCGCGCGCCTGTCTGTGTACGCCGCGCTGCGTGCGCGCACCCACGCGGTCCATTGCGACCAGCTTCCAGGAGCACAGACCGGTGCGAGCAATGCAAAGCAAGGCAAGGGGCGGGCGGCGACGGGGCGCTTACGGGGCGGCGACGGCCCACCCGCGGGGCGGCGATGCGGCGTCCACGAGGCGGCGACGGTTCGCCCACGGGCCGGTGACTCACCAGGAATTCGGGAAGCAGGCCTGGCTTTTTCACAAGGCAAGAAGGAATGCCACGGTGCAAGCACTGCCTGGGAGATGAGCCGTTCTCCACACACGCCTGCGGGGCTACATTGCGTCATGCTCCAGCACACCAATTGCGTTGCATTGTTTTGCGACGAACTGCAGTGCGCAACGTTATGACGTTCTTTGGAACTGCAAGACATCACGCCCCTATGGTGCAACATTCTTACATTACGCAGCGCAACATACCAATACATTGCATGCAACTGCGTATTCACATTGTGTAATGCTACATTCTACTACGGCATGCTACATTACAACGCAACGCATTCACACACACATTCACGCACATTCACACACACACATTCACACACATTCACACACATTCACACACATTCACACACACATTCACACACATTCACACACATTCACACATTCACACACACATTCACACACACCATATTGTACGTCATCGCGGCACGCCTCGCTATGTCAACACGTGCGTCTATTATATTCTGGAGGACGCTTTGTCCCAGTGCCAAACGCCTCCTCTGTATTTCCGACGCCGCTCTGTGCGAGACTGCCGCCTGACAGCCGCAGGCCAGTAAAAGTGCTAGAAAAGAGGTACTTGCGCACGTCAACGACGGGCGCGTGACAACTTCCAGTCGCAAAACAAATGAAATATTCAGACAGACGGACAGATGATACACACACAAATGCAACGCATGGGATAGATCCACATCTACACCGCGGTCCATGGCTCTGTCGTGGGCTTCCTTTCTCGCTCTGATGTCGCATCCGCCTCCACTTTCCGCCACACCTCCTCATACTCGTTCCGCTCGTCCTGATCCTGATGCTGCTTCTCCCTCTTGCTCCGTGCCCCTCCTCTCGCTTCGGCTCCCTGGGCCGCTCCTCCTCCGCTTTCTCTGCCCTGGGCGCTGCCAACCTTGAAACACCCTTTTCCCATCAGCGGCATGCCCGGCATGCCCATCTTGCCACCAGGGAGGCCCTTTCTGGCATCCTTGCCCTCGGGCGGGCGCTGAGAGGTCATCGAAGGGAGGGAGAACAAGGAGGGGATAGGACACGTGTAGTACTCAGTGTATGGCCAGGTGGCGCGCGCCGTCAAACATCTGCAGGCGTTGCGCAAGCCGCCGCTCCCTGCCCGCGCGCGCGCGCGTGTGTGTGTGTGTGTGTGTGTGTGTGTGTGTGTGTGTGTGTGTGTGTGTGTGTGTACGTGTGTGTACGTGTGTGTACGTGTGTGTACGCGTGTGTGTGTGTGTGTGTGTGTGTGTGTGTGTGTGTGTGTAAGTGTGCTGTTCCCCTCCCGGCAATGGTTGCCAAGACAAAGACTCCAGTGTGTGGGAAGTGCTCTGGAGGCGTATCTACATGCTTCGCCTCTAAGGGGCTTCGTTGGGCATGCCCGCCTATCCGCACCACTTCTCCGCATGGTGTGGCGCAGAGGGTCATTGCCAAAGAGGCTGCACACATCAGATGGAATCAGCTCGTAGCGTGCTAGTGCGACCATGTGTGGACTGCGGCCTTGCTACGACGGCTGGCTGCAAGGGTTGTCAGGCTATGCGGAGGATCCCTCTTGAGGGATGGGTGCCTGGGCCGTGGCCCGCTGCATTTCCTCCCTCGGCCCCCACCCATTTGCAGGCTGCCGAACATCTTTCCAGCACGGGGAGGCGAGGCTGATACAGAATACGGGGGCGACATCGTGCTACGGTCGGGAACATGAGCCCTTCTGAGGCCTCGGCTTGGATAACACCTATTCTGGGGAAAATCGCGTTCTGATGGTGTCAACCTACCCACGTCCATCCAATCTGGCTGAGAAGCCGGGCGTCGGCGGCTCGACCCGCCTTGACGTCACTGCTTTTGCTCGCTCTCCCGCCCCTGATCCCTTGCTCCTCCTTTTTCTTGGAAGCGCCTGTACTTTTTTACTTCTTTTTCAAGTGCCATTGAGTCCTTTGCTCGGTAACTTCGTTGGCAATACTCGTTGCGCACCACCCATGCGGCTCAGCCGCATTTGGTGCCTCGCTCTTTTCTGCGCCCCGTCCGCGTGACGCGTGGCACGTCCCACGCGTCACCTGGTGCGGCCAGTGCCTTCGCCGGCAGCGCCGCTTCAGGCGGCCTCCCGCCGTCGGCTCGGCCCCGCTGACACCTCGCCAGCTGTATTGGCTCAGCTGCCGGGGCCTCGGCACGGTTGGCTGACTGTCCTCTTTTCTGTCATGCCGTTGGCACGACCGCGCGTCTCCTCGCGCTGTCCCCGCTTCTCCGCTCCCCCGTTTCGGCCGCTGACCCACCGGTGTCGTCCGCGGCCCTGTTAGTTTCGTACACTACCCATGCGGCTTAGCCGCCGTTTTTTTTTGTTGGGTGCCTCGCCCTGGGCGGCTTGCGGGGGATCCCGCGGCCGCCTGGAGCGTTCGGCACCTCCTGCGATTTCGCCGCCTTGGGCATCGTCGCGCGTCTCGTTCTGTGCCCTCTCTGGCACCACCGCCATCTCTTGACACCTGGCCGAGCCGCGAGGCTGCCGTAGATAGGCGTCGGCAGCGGGGCCATCTCGCCCCCCCACTGCAAAAGGCCATGGCTCGCGTCTTCTTTTTGGGCCTTCCGGTCGGCCGCGCTGCGGGGGGCCTGGGCACGGGGTTGGCGCTCGTGGGGCGCGGGGATGCCTGCACCCCTCGTGGGCTCTCTCGCCGGAGGGCTGCGGCTGCTTCTGGTGCGGCGTTCCTTGCTGGCGTTTGGCTGGGTAGTCGCTGTGCGTGCGCTGTGGGTGGATACGTCGTCCATGGCCGCCGTGTCGTGTCAGCACGGCCGCGCAGCTCCTCGCGTCTTTTGTTCTCACTTCCGCCTCCTCGTCTCTTTTGGTGGTCGCGACGGCGGTTGTCTGGCTGGGTGGCCAACTCGCCGCGTTCAGGTGCCCTTACGGCGGCACTGTCCCATGACCCTGCTCTTTGTCTTACAGACTGAGGATTCGTCATTCCCTGCAGTCCAGCTCTTCGCACGCCCAATATATTCTCGCACTACAGTTTCGATGCTTGCAATATTCGGCATGGCTGATGACCCAATTTACGCGCGCTGCGATCGATGCTGCCACGCGGCGGCTTTCACACATCCCGTAGCTCTGCGTCGCTGGTCCGTGGTTTTCCACCCCACCCATCGGCTTCGGTCGCTAGGTTAGCCACACCACCAATATGTTTACAACATTTCCTATGCTTCACTGTCTAACACCGTTGTTGTGATTCAGTGGCCGCAATTAGCCGTTGGCTCTCGCGTTTCACTTGACTCTGAGTTGAGTTATCTCCTCGTTTTCTGGTCGCTGCACGTTTCGCTTGACAGTTCCTCGTTCACACCCATTGCTTGCATGATGCGGTGATGCGGTGATGCTGCTTGCGCGCAACGCTATCGACAACGTTCGGTAGCAATTAACACCTCCGTCTGCTGTTCGCGCTTGAGGACCCTCTGCGCCGCCGAGTTAAAAATATGTGTGTGTGTGTGTCGTGTGTGTGTGGTGTTGTGTGTGTGTGTTGTGTGTTGTGTGTATGTGTGTGTGTGTGTGTGTGTGTGTGTGTGTATGCGGCCGACCCTCCCTGCCCGCCTCACTTTAGCGCGGCCCTCCGACCCCCGCGCTTCCCCCCCGCGCTCTCTGGGCCCGACCTCGGCCGTCCCTGCCCGCCTGCCTTTGCGCGGCGTCGCTCCCTGCTGCCCCCGCTGCCTGCTGGCTTGCCCGACGCCTGCCCCCGCTGCCCCGCCCGCGCCCCAGCGCCCTTTCCCCGCTGCCCGCCGTCTCCCGGCCCGCCGTCGCCCGCTGCTGCCAGGTGAGGGGCCTGCCTCTTCCTTGCCCTCTCTTCCAGCGTGTGCGCGCTGGCGACTTCTTGAACGGCGTGGCGCTGCGCCCGCCCGCGACGACCGAAAAGTGTGTGTGTATAGATGTCTCTGTGTGTGCGCGTGTGTGTGTGTGGAGCCCTGGCTTGCCACCAGAGAATCAGCGTCTTCCATTTCCCAGCCCGCTTGAGCGCGCGTGCGGACTGCCTCTGCCGTGCTGCCACGAAGAATGCGTGGAGCCCTGGGTGTCCTGCACGAGCCTGATCTTGGCAGCTCAGCGATCGGTTGCGCCCGTTCCTCTGGGAACCTCGCTCGTCTCAGTTGACCTTGACCCACTGATTGCACCCCGTGGGCGCGCTGGAGGAACATGTATGTAGGAGGTAGAGGCTCATTGGCACCGTTGGCAAGGTCTATGGTATGTGGAGTGAGCTTTGACAGGGACAGCCCGAAAAAGAAGATTACCACGATCGATCGGGAAAGGCATCGACAAAGGTCTCGACAGGCAGGACAATTAAGGTTAGAACGGTGATGTGTACCCCTTGAGGGCTTCGTCTACGAGCGGGAAACATAGGCAAAATCAGTGCTCGAACGGAGCTGCAGGAAAAGCATAACGAAAGCAGAACGACAGGCAGGCGCAATATCGCTGGCAACATGAACAGAAGGAGAGCGACAGAGAGAAAGAGAAAGAGAGAGAGAGAGAGAGAGAGAGAAGGAGAAAGCACGATCTATATGGGGAAAGAAAGGCACATGCCTACATTTATGTACATGGGGAGAGAAAGAGAGAAAGAGAGAGAGAGGGTCAGACTGATATATAGAGGGAGAGAGAGAGAGAGAGAAAGAGAGAGAGAGAGAGAGAAAGAGAGAGAGAGAGAGAAAGAGAGAGAGGGAGAGAGCGAGAGAGAGAAAGAGAGAGACAGAGAGGGAGAGAGGGAGAGAGAAAGAGAGAGACAGACAGACGGACATTTTTATACATATATATAAGTACGTACATAAACATTCACGTTGGCCAGCGTGGATCCCAAACATGATATTCCCAGCATTCTGTGTTCTGCAATCCACGTAATGTAATATATGTGGTGCAATCTGTGCGGTGCAACCTATGTTGCGCAATCTATGTGGTGCAGCCTGTGCAGTGCAAGATATGCGGTGCAATACATGTGGTGCAATATATTTTGTGCGATCCATGTCGACCAGTATATGTAATGCAATATATGTGGTACAATCTATGTGGTACGATCTATGTGGTACAGCCTATGTCGTGCGATCTCTATGGTGCAATACAGGCGGTGCAATATATGCTGCGCAATCTAGGTGGTGCAATTCATTTTTACCCATGGTTTGACACGCCCAATGCTCTTGCAAACATCCCACCCACCCACCCGCAACTTGTTTTGCACAACTTCTTAAGACCGATTACAATGACACCGACGACAACGACTACGACGATACCGACGACGTTTCCGACGACGATGACGACAACGACGACGACGACGACAGCGACGACAACGGCGAGGACATCGACGACGACGATTACGACGACGACGCCGACGCCGACGACGACGACGATGACGACGCCGACGACAACGATTCTGACGACGACGACGACGTCGACGAGGCCGACGACGACGATCACGACGACGACGACGGCGGCGACGACGACGACGCCGAAGCCGACGACGACGAAGACGACGACGACGCCGACGACGACGACGACGCCGCCAACGAAGACGACGACGACGAGGGAGGGAGGACGACGACGGCGACAACGACGACAACGACGAGGGAGGAGGAAGGACGGTGACGACGCGAACGACGAAGAAGGAGGAAGGACGGCGACGCCGACGACGACAACGACGAGGGAGGAGGGAAGACGACGACGACGACGAAGCCGACGAAATAGGAGGGACGACGACGAGACGCCGACGACGGACGACGACGACGAGGGAGGCAGAGGAAGGACGACCACGGCGACAACGACGACGGAAACGACCACGACGCCAAAAAGGACGACGACGACGACGCGGGAGGAGGGAGGACGGCGACGACGACGACGACGCAAAAGCGCGCGCGCACGCTTTTGTTGAAAATCCGTGTTGCGAAACCGTGTTCCCGTAGGTTTTTTGGACACACGATGTTGAAATCCTTCCGAAACCGATGGGTTTTGAATGATTTCGGCATACGCGCGCGACGACGCGCGCGTCT